TACGATTTTGCGTGTCCAATAGTGGACAGTTTGGAAGGTGTGACACATGCTTTACGTACAACTGAATACGCCGACCGAGATCAACAGTACTATTGGTTTTGTGACGCGCTGGAATTGAACCCTCGGCCTTATGTCTGGTCGTACAGTAGATTGAACATGACCAACACTGTTTTGTCTAAAAGAAAATTAACGTGGTTTGTTGACGAAGGCTTGGTGGATGGCTGGTAAGTGGTAAATCAAATTTCTAAAGGCTAAATCGATAGATTAGTGCACACTTATCATGTCGCAGAATTGAATTTGTTCAGGAGAGCGAAACAAAGTTTCTAACTATTTGCTTTAAATTTAAATTTATTGCTATTATGAGATCAAACATTTTTCAGTGTTAGTCAGTATCAAATACTGATGGCTCATTGATATCAAAAAGTGTATTTTGGAAAAAAAGTCTACTTGTGATAAGTGTGCATTAAGCCATCAATATAACAAGTGCAAACATATTATACTCTTACGTTTAATTTTTTTTTTTTTTATAAGTCGTACATTTTACTGTTTCGTGTCAAACAAATTATTTACAATGTAATTTGTTTGTCTTTTAAAGGGACGACCCACGCATGCCTACTGTTAGAGGAGTGTTAAGGAGAGGTATGCAAGTGGAAGCTCTGCGTCAATTTATTATTGCTCAAGGATCTTCTCGTACAGTCGTTACGATGGAGTGGGATAAAATTTGGTCGATTAACAAACGTATAGTAGACCCCGTTGCTCCACGTCATACTACGGTGGAACTAAACGCATCAGTTCCGGTCTATGTTGAAGATGTTAAAGAACCGTATGTTATAAAGAATGTACAGAGACATCCAAAAAATCCTGACTTGGGCACAAAAGACGTATGGATCACTCCTACGTTGCTTATCGATTATGTTGACGCCGAGGGCTTGGCTAGTAGTGGCGTTGGAGCTAAAGTCACGTTCATAAACTGGGGAAACGTTATCGTGACTAAAATCAACAAGTAATTATTATAGAATTCTGAGTTCTTTTTTTTGTTTTTTTGTATTTGTCGTCTTCTATTTATATTTTATACCAGTTCAATTTTAAATATAACCAATTAGGAGTGTTAATATATTTTATTGATTGATTTTTAGAAATTCAAGTGGCAAGATTGAATCGATCAACATAAAAACAGCATTAAATGATACCGATTACAAAAAAACCACAAAACTTACATGGCTGCCAAAAATTGTACCTGCTGAAAACAAATCTTCCGACGTACCAGCGCTTGTACCCTGTTTTTGTGTATTTTTCAATCACTTAATAAGTAAACCTGTACTGGCTAAAGATGAAGATTTCAAACAATATGTAAGCGACTTGGAAGATCTATCGTCGTGTAAGACTCGTTTAGAAGTACCAATGTTGGGTGATCCAGAGTTGCGCAATGTGAAAAAAGGCCAAGTTATACAGCTGCAACGTCGGCCTGGTTACTTCATATGCGACACTCCCTATCAGCCGTTTAGGTATTTATACATTTATGATTTTGTTTTTTTTTATATTTAATATTATTATAGGCTATGACTTAATTTATTATTGATAAGTAGAATACATTTTACCAATATTCTTTTAAACATAATTCAAATATATTTTACACAAACATTTTTAGGATTTTGATTTTAGTGTCATTGTATTAGCATCAAAATTACTTAATGTTATTATTAAAAATACTGAAAACATTTTTGTCACACTCCAATGTACCGGGGGGTCCAAATAGGCTATTCAGAAATAGCGCTTATCTGTTGTTTACCCTGACTCATATTTTCTTCATAAATCGTAATTTCCTTAAAAATATAGAAAATGTACATTGTTTGACTCGATACTATTTTTTTTTTCAGTATTCACACAAGCAAAGAATGCCCTGTAATCTTGTTTTCTGTACCAGATGGTCATACCAAGCAACAAGCAACAGTAAGTAGTGGTAATTCAGCAGCATCAGAAAAAAAAAGCAATCAAGCTCAAACTCCAAATTGTGCAAATACTACCAACCAAGAAAATGAACTTTACACTCGTGTGACCGAACAGGGAGACAAAGTTACGACAGCTGAAATCATCGGGTGCTAGTAAAGACGCTGTATCTGAAGCTGTTAAAGCGCTCTTAGCATTAAAAGCAGAATACAAACAAGCTTCTGGAAAAGATTATCAACCTAATCAGCCCCCAGCAAAATCTGCTCCCACACCGCCGACAAATGCACCTAGCACTACCAACCAAGAAGAGCAACTCTATGCTCGTGTGACCGAACAGGGAGACAAAGTACGACAGCTGAAATCATCGGGTGCTAGTAAAGACGCTGTATCCGAAGCTGTTAAAGCACTCCTTGCATTAAAAGCAGAATATAAACAAGCTTCTGGAAAAGATTATCAACCTAATCAGCCTCCAGCAAAATCTGCTCCCACACCGCCGACAAATGCACCTAGCACTACCAACCAAGAAGAGCAACTCTATGCTCGTGTGACCGAACAGGGAGACAAAGTTAGACAGCTGAAATCATCGGGTGCTAGTAAAGACGCTGTATCCGAAGCTGTTAAAGCGCTCTTAGCATTAAAAGCAGAATACAAAAGTACTGTCGGTAAAGAATATCAAGCTGGTGCTCAAACTTCTAAACCTCAATCAGCGCCACCATCTCAGAAAAATGTCGGAAAATCAGATAAAAAAGTAGACCAAAAGAATTAACAAGAAAAATCAACAGCTTCTGCAAACGCCAGTGAGGCCGGTGTGAAGAAAATTACTCGGTTAGGATTAGAAGCCAAGAAGTTTGTAGATTTACCTGACTGGTATTCTCAGGTGTTGACTAAAGGAGAGATGATTGAGTACTATGATGTTAGCGGTTGTTATGTATTAAGACCATGGTCGTTCGGTATTTGGGAGCATCTACAAAAATGGTTTGACAATGTTATCAAAAGGCAATTGGGCGTGCGCAATTGTTACTTCCCAATATTTGTGTCGAAAGCGGTTTTGGAAAAAGAAAAAGCGCACATAGAAGATTTTGCACCAGAGGTAAGAGATTTATAAAAAACACTTTAAATTTTATACCCATAACCACCTTTAACAAATTATAATATACAATATTATAAATTATAATATTACTGTTTAAATACAGTGATATGTTAAGGTTATATATATTGTTCTTAATTATAAAGACAACGATTGTTTCAATTCATTGTGTTTAATAGTTTCGTTGTATGTTTAAAAATTACTATAGGTAGCATGGGTAACAAAATCTGGCGATACAGAATTACAAGAACACATTGCTATCAGACCTACTAGTGAAACTGTTATGTATCCAGCATTTGCAAAATGGATTCAATCCTACAGAGATTTGCCTTTGAAGTTGAACCAATGGAATAATGTAGTGGTACGTATATGATAAAAGAAAAAAATGTTATTGCGTCTCAATTTTGTTGACAAATTAAATTGAGAGAATAATTCGAATGTTAATAATGCAATTATTAAAATAATTTAAACCCATTGAAATCATTGAAATTGTCCTAATGTTTTCTTTTAGCGCTGGGAGTTCAAACATCCTCAACCGTTTTTGAGGACTCGCGAATTCTTATGGCAAGAAGGTCATCATGCGTACGCAACCCAAGATGAAGCCGAACGGGATGTACTCAAAGTCTTAGGTAAATCATAATCGTCAAAAAGGAAATGGTCTTACAGCAATGATTTCTTTTCAAAAAAAAATACTGCAACATTGTCGTTGGACAGTATTGAACTGTCGAGTGTCATCGTTTCGGAAAGAAAAGCGCTTCTTGTTAACCCGCGACAAATAACTTGAGAAATTTGATTTGATTGTAGAATTTTATGCCAATGTGATGTTTTAGATTTCTATAAACAAGTGTACGAAGACTTGCTTGCGGTACCCGTGGTGCCAGGGAAAAAAACCGAAAAGGAGAAGTTTGCTGGCGGCGTATTTACCACCACCGTCGAAGCCTACGTTCCGGCGAGCGGTAGAGCCATTCAAGCGGCCACCTCACATTACTTGGGAACGAATTTCGCACGAATGTTTGATGTTCAGTTCGAGCATCCAGACACTCATCAGCCTGAGTACGCTCATCAAATATCTTACGGCATGACGACACGGACCATTGGAGTGATGGTGATGGTGCACGGCGATGACCGTGGTCTTCTGCTGCCTCCCAAAGTCGCAACGGTTCAGGTAACGGAAAACAATGGGATTGTTTATGTATTATAGTTGTTGTTGTAGCTGGACGGATTGGTTTGAACTTGATAACAATTGATTTCAGGTCATTATCGTACCGTGTGGCGTTGGCGCCAGCACAGAGCCGAGCGTCAAAGATCGACTGTTGAATTTGTGCGATACCGTGAAAAACGCACTCTTGGGAGATCAAGATCCGGTCCCGTCTCCAAACAGTATTCGAGCGGAGACCGACTTGAGGGATAATTATTCACCCGGTTGGAAATTCAACCACTGGGAATTGAAGGTACTATAAATGTAAAAAAAATGTTTTCTCATGTTTGTTAATACTTTGTGTTTGTTTTTTTTTTTTGTAGGGAGTTCCGCTCAGAATTGAAATCGGACCTAAAGACATGGAAGCCGGCCGTCTCATTAATGTAGAATATTCGTTACCAATACAGTGTCTGCAAAAAATCTTTTAGATTATTATCATATCATATCTAAAAGTTTTTTGCACATACTATACTAATAAGATTTTCCTTGCAGAATTTCGCTGTGGTCATTAATTTGGCTTTATAGTACACTCGACGAAATAATGTACTTGTATTGTATAAATTTAATAATAGCATTAAGAGCATTTTGAGTTGTTGGCTACAAAAATAGGTATTAACCAGTAATAAAATAAATTCCGGCGGTAATAAATAAGCAAACATACACAATCGTGTAAATCATGGCGTAGCTAATATATTATTATATTATGTGCGTGCATTTAAAAAATAATAATAATCTAAAACTCACCTTAACGCGGCCCTTTTTTCATAGCATTCAAGAGCAGACTTGGGCGGCAGTTTTTTCCAGGTCGTGGACGATGCACAAATGAACTCTGTGTACAATAAATGTATGTAGCTGAACCCTCTACCCTCGAACAGCTTCATTGATCGCCACCACAAGGGAGATTTATTATAATAGGTACATACCCACTAGGGGAGCAGCTGCTATTGCGCAGAACAGATCAGAACAAAGTACAATGACTCGCCGATTCCGTTTGCAGTCTGGCCAAGGTTTACCGAAGGGTTTTAGGGGACGGTGTGACAGTAGACAACAAATAGGATAATTTGGAGTTGTTTTTCTTTTGACAAAACATAATTATACAAAATAAAATCAAACTGACATTAAAATATGGCAAAAGTTGCTTTCTAGATGACCTGTACAGTTTATGGAAAGTACTTATACCGAGAAATTCTTTAGAATAAATATTTAAGTCTTGTTCTATGCTTTCTCGTTTTTATTGAAAAGTGATGTGTTACCAGAGTCTCCGTAGTCACATTGGCTTAAATACAGATAGCGAACATGAAAAAAAAAACAGTAAAACTATGCCCCGACCCCACTGTACCAGTTTTTATTTTTTTGCAAAAACATTGTGGGCCAAATAGCCCATATACAGTGTCATGTATTTGTTAATTTAGTTGGAATAGTCAACGAATAATATTTCAATCGTTTGTACTTTATAGTTTAATTTATAATCGCTTATTCTCAATAAAATTAATATTTATGTATTATATACTTCCATTAGAGCAAGCTCTTACTAACTATTTATACTTCATAGACTATATTATTCTTTCAAACCTCTATTATACTTCTATTTTACTAGATTGACAATTTACAAATCTAATTTGGGTTTTTTTCACAAAGTAACAACCCGATTTTTTTTTAAATCCACTGCTTTTAAATAATTTTCAACTTATAACACCGTTTCGCTCGAATTCGGTTTTTTATGTGTGTGTGTTAGTGTGTAAGCTTTTTCTAAGAGCTTGGAAAATCGATGGTTACACTAGTATTAAATCGTAAGCCGACAAAACAGATATATAGTACTAGGATTTGTATACACAGATGTAATAATACGTTGTTTTCAACTGCTCTATCATTTGACTATTGGCAAAAACAAAATATAATATATTTCATAAATCCCGCGTACTGAACACCTACAGAAAACGACTACGTGTTTAACAGTTAGCCATTAGTATACGTTGTCCCTTTTGTGTTGCAAAACTTGGAACTGTTTTCATTCTTCAAGCCTTTTTTTTCTAAAACAAGTACTCTAGTAGGTTACCTATTATTTGAAAAATAAAAATGTATTCGAAAACTATGATACTGTTTTTCAGCTTGGCATTGTACTTATTGGAATGTCAGGGTAGCACCGCCTACTTCAAAACAACGTGTAAGTATATTGGACAATAAACATTTATGATTAATAGAAAACGCTAAGATTTTACCGCCCCCATTTTCGCATCGAATAGTCTTTTTACTGTTCACTTACTAACAATTATTCCTAATAATGATAATCCGCATAATATGACTGTCAGTTTATCGTTTTTATTTCGCTAACGAAGGCTAAGTTTTACAGGTAAATTATACTAATATACATTCTTATTTTGAAAACAATAGGAAATAATAAGAAATATGGTCAGGGAAAATGTTGGCCAAGATGGCACAGGCTATGAAGGATTAAAAGATGTATTAATTAAAGTAGTCGCTAAATTAAAATTATCCATAGAGTTCCCTGGTAAGGATGAGTTGCTGGTGGAATCAAAAGGTAAATTCAATAAACATGTTGAGTAAAATGTTCAAAAACTATCGAAGAGACATTTTTTAAATATTCAATTTATTTCTTTAAAGGTTATTGAAAAAAAATTATATTTTGTAATTTCAGAATATGTTGATAGTTTACTCCATGACTACACATTGGAAGAAGTTATAAGCGTTGTCAAAGATTTTGTAGACTCCGAAAGTTTGGCATACAATGGTACCGTACAAGATTGCGTGGTAAAAAAAAACTATGATACTATATTACATATAAAAGACTTGTGTGATTGTTTGTGCTTCCCATCGGTAAAAACATTGTGATATTCATAGTAGTCGATTTAGTGAATGACTTTTTTACGCATAAAAAAATACTAAATAACAGAACCGTTTTTGGATGATTCCTTGCCGATTTTACCCCAGAAGGAAAAAACTTAATTAAAAAAAATTTAATATTTCCTAATAAGCAGTTTACAAATTAGCATCAACGGGTCTATTTAAAAGTGAATGTATCCGAGTAAGCCAATACAGTGGGGTTGAGGCATAACGGATCAAAGCATAGTGTGACCGTTTACACTCTGCAGGAATAATTATAAATAAAAATGTTAAAATCACTTTCAAACAAACGCTTTGGTACTAATTTTTAAACTGTTTACACTGTGCTTGGTTTGGACTTGGACGTGACGTGGAAATACTGATTCGCATCGAGGCGTTTATTTGAAAGTGATTTTATCACTTTCAGCTATAATAATTTCTGTACACCCTGTGACCTCCTCGTCCCACTTTGCCCTGACCCCACAGTATTGACTTTTTTATTGTTAAAATTTAAAAAAAATACAAATGATCCTTTACAAATAAAAGCAAAAAAAAAAAATAACCTGAATGGGGTATTATATTTACACGCGTTGCGGTTACTCCCATTTGGATATCTTGACTGGTTCGCCAACGTTTCAAAACACTTCCATGTTCCTTCTTCAGGGCTCAGTAAATATTATAAATAGTTTTTGAGTTTTTTATGTTTTTTAAAACTTTAATCCCCCCCCCCCCCAGATACCAACTAGATGATATTTATAGAGTTGCTTAAAAAATCCCCCATCATTGTAAAACCAATAGCATCGAAGCTAAACACTATTGATCCTAATATGACAAAAAAACTCTTTAACTACTATAAAACTGGTGTTATAATGATAAAACAATCACAGCAAGTCGTTAATGGTGGTTTTGCAAAAGAACTATTAGTTTTTTCTGTAAAATTGAATATATATTTAAATGTTTTCTTGTTGTTTTGTAGAGAAGGGCAACAAACATTTTCGGGTCACTTGACAGTTTTAAACGTTATGAAGAATTAGAAGATATAATTAAAGTGATAAAGCACAAATTTAAAGTTACCAAACACTTCCCTACTTATCAAGAACATAAATCGGCGTTATCAAGTAATTAACATTATAATATAATATTCGATAAATGCGTTGTGTAAAATGTTCATAACCACTGAAGAGACATTTAAATATTTGAGTGACCTTTTTTTTGCTGGCGTACAAAATACAAATAGAATCATGCGAGATACGCGTTCATCTTTTTTAAAACATTTTTTTAACCTTTCTTCAATAATTCAACAATTTGAAATAAAAATGTTTTGCCCATGTAACACATTAATATTGTCATCTTATTTTTTGCTATTAAGTTGGCCCGATTCGTTTGTTTAAAAATTGTTTAATATTTTGTATTTTCAGACCGCGCACACTATACTGTGGATCAAGTTGAAAACATAGTTATTGAAAAACTATTTTCGATTTAAGGGTTGGACTATATTTTTAACTGTTTTTAAATTAGTGCATGTCACATACGATTAATTTAGTTTTGTTTGATTATCTAATTATTTTGATCTTGTATTTCGTTAGTGCACTGTTTAATATATGTATAAGTACTACAGAATTATAAAAAAAAATTAAGACATTATTTTTTTTTTGACATTGTCCATGGATATGTCTTATGGCTGTAGGTCATTCTGAAAACAGTACTGATATCATTGTGGATTATGGAGGAGTATTAAGGAGGTGAATTAATAGAGATAGTGGATTAGAGATACTAGATTGCATATCCAAGTATTCATGTGTCCGCATGAAGTATGGATACTCTTAACTCTGAATTTACTCAGTTTGTATATGAAACTGAATTATTATTGTATATAATGTTGTTTTTTTCCATAGGTAGGTAATATCCTCTTATAGGTACAACAAATATTTGGCTCGACAATTAAACAGTACTAAAGAGAAAAATATGTAAGGTTACATTATTAATAATAACATGATTTTAAACGATAAATATAAAATTATAGAGAAAAAAAAACAACCAGAGAGTGCGTAAAACTAAAAGAAATTAATAATATAAACTTTAATTAAACTGAAAAGCCAGAGCTCTTAATAAAGGAAAGAATTGCAAGAAAGACAGAAACGGGACGGTTGGATATAATTCTTTTTGGTTACTTTTAAACGGATTTTTATATAATTTATTATATCTCTAAAATTAATTAATACAAAAATAAAAATCTAAATCTATTAAGTGCATATAACTACAACTAATAAAACTTGATACTTGATAACAGATTCCTTCTGATAACAAAAGTAGGTTTTGGAATTTATTAATATAATAATAACGATTAACAATGAAAAATCGTTCATTGGATATATTGAATATTTAACTAAACAAAGTAACTATAAACTTGAACCATTAAGATAGATTTATACAACACAGATGTCTAACGATATAAACGATAAGACAAAACTTACAACACTCTGTTCGTTTATTTTTCATTAATATTTTGTAATGAAGTGCTCGCTTTTCATTGCGACTGTACACCAATCGAATGCCTGACGACTGCAATCCTTGGGTTAATAATAGTTGGCTCGATAGTGCCCCAAAAACACTAGTTTGAGAACGCCTTCGGTCTAGAAACAGTTTAAATATTGTAAACACAGTTTGTGAAATCTCAAATCAATGATCATTTATGGTTTAAATAAAAAGCCAAGTCCAAAAAAAAAACACTAGCTAATGAGGACACTTTGTGTATGAAAAAATATGCAGATAATTTATTGTATTTAAAATAAGTCACTGACAGTCACTCGGGGTCTCTAGTTGTGATATATGGGCTTTTGTATTAAAGTGAGTCTAGTAAAGTTGTATCTAGTCGATATACGTCAGGGTCATCGTTAAATGATCAATTTTGCAAAACACAAACTTTCCAAGAGTTCTTGTCATTATGACTAGAGAATACTAACATTACAAAACCAGAATATATATTGTAAAATTCAAATATTTTCACAAAATTATTTTAAGTAATTTTTTTTAAATAACACAAGTAAAAAAAATGTGAATAAATGATTGATAATGCATTAATCTTGTAAAAATAAACCATTTTTACAAAATTATACACAAAAAACGTTAGTTTTAATCTAGAAACTAATTAATTCTTTTATCAGAGTTTAAGAAAATAGAAATAACAAATTGTGTGGTTTTAAAAAAGTTCAAGCTCAAAACAATAAAAAATTGTGCTTAGTATAAAAACAAACACTTTTTAAAGTATGTTTCACCGATGATATGTTACGACACTTTTAGTTGTACACCTAAAAAGAGCATAATTTTATTATTAAAAAATACAAAGTGAAAAAAAACGAGCCGTATGGTCAATTAAAAATACTAATCCAAGTAAATTAAAAAATTGTATTTTTTATGGCGAATTAATTGTATGTAACTTGATAATTAAGTCTATTTATAAAGAATAAAACACATATTTTTACAGTATTAATTTATCATATTGAAGCAATCATAAATATGTAATTTGACAAAATCTATAAATATGTTCATGACATTTTTAAAACGTAATTCACTTAAGCAAAATAATTAATACTGTATAAGTGAATAATAATTTAAATAAAATTAACGTAAACTTATTATGTCATAAATTTAGTAGGTATAAATAATAAAATTAATTAAGAAGTCCTGCCACGAATAAAAATTAAAAATACACAAGTTTTTATTTCAAAATGTTTTACATTTTATTGTCATGTATTATTTTTTTTCTTAAATGTTCTCAACAATATGAATGTTAAAATAGTAAGACAAAAGTAAATTTTTTCAACTGAAATCATTAAGCAAAATGAAGACAACTCATTTTTTTACATTTTATTATTGTTAATCACTTTTTAGGAGGAGGAGGAGTGGCCGAGTGGGTAACGCGGCAGTGTGTTAGCGCTCACTGTCGCCGGTTCGACACTCGGTCACAGGCACTCCGTTTGCTGGGCGAGCAATCGTCCGGTAAAAAGGAACCGCCATCCCCCTCTCCGGCGACGGATTGACGACCCGTCCCGGAAGCGAATTCGTCAAGAAACCATCTTGATGGCAGCGTTGGGCCTTAAAGGCCCGTTAAGCTTGATGGTTTGGTTTTTTTAATCACTTTTTAAATAGGTATGTTTAGATATATGTATATTTGAATAATTTCAAATACTGAATAATAAAATATTTTTTTTTTTACTGATTCAATCGTAATTATTTTATTTGAAATCAGTTTCACAATATTAGTTTGTTTTACAATATAAATCTTGCTATTAATAAAACAAATTTTATTGTTTATATAAGAGCTATTACAAACTACATTTTTTTATATGACCGATAAAATATATTTATAATAATGTTAAAAGTGTGTAAAACAGATCCGTAATCACTTGAGCCAAAAAAATAATGATTTCTAAGTGAAAACCGTGATAAACATATAAGTAAATGAAAAATAAAATATTTAAATCATAAAATATTAAAATACCTTTTAGTGTCATGGTGTCAGTGTACGTTGTGTTGCCAATAGTCTATTATTCTAAGGGGCAGTCCATATATCCCAATACACCGTCCATTTTAATTCTGATTCTCAGCTGGTTTCTCACTACGTTAATTCTAGAACACAAATCACATTTTCAAAAATCAAAAAAGAGCTTATAGTTAATTTATTAAAATGACTTAAGCCTGAGTTTAAACATATACAAATTATACACGAGTGTAGGCAAAGATTTATTACAGAAACCCAGAAGTTTTAACTTTGAATCACATCGATTGTAGCATGTTTACACTTATTACGGTATAAGTGTAGTAAAAGAACTCATAATTAATTTATCAAAATTAATAATCTACACTTATTCTGTAATAGGGAACAACAATTAAAATTGTAGAAATTTTAATTAGTTACAGCTAGTAGAAAATAACTCATACTCTTAATGGCCATACCTAATCACTGTTTTACTCCACCTAAAAATAAAGATGTATTTCAATTTTGCTATAATCATCTATTCCCTGCAAATCACCCAAGTCAAGTATGTTTAATCTTAATTTAATGAATTATAGTCAAAGTTAGACTATTTTAAACTATGGCTTATGAATATCAGGAATCCTAAAAATAAATTAGTAAGTAGGCGTAAGTGGGAATTAAGTTAAATTTCTGAAGTAATGAAGTTTTTTGTGGTTGGTGTAAAATTTCATGACTTGTGTTGAAATGACTAATTCAATTAGAACTCTCAATAAACAAAATTATTACTTATACTAGAGCTTCGCTCTAGTTGGGGGCTCTATCCCCAGGCCCCCGAGTCGGGCGGGTAGGTCACAGATTCCCGGTACTGTACCCGGCTACGCCGGGCACGCTCACGTCCCCTCGCTGCAAAGTATTTTCGGGGAGGTCACAGATTCCGAGGGGGGTGCCCGGCTGCGCCGGCCACGGTATGTGGAAGTCAGTGCACAGCGGTTCCTAGGGGGGTGCCCGGCTGCGCCGGCCACGGTGTCGAGCCATCGCAATACGTCTTAAAGGAATGACGTTATAATTCATGGTACCTATAGGCTGTATCTAGTAATCAGAATTCATACCTAGTTATGGACAAATATTTTGCAAGCTAAGTACTGATTAAGTGTAGAGTAAGTCTAGCTATGTATCTGTAATTTTTTTAAATTTTAAATTGAAAAGAATAGTCTAGAAGTTAGACGGTTAATAAATATCAAGTGTCCGGTGTTGCTTACTTGGGTTGTTACCACTTTTACCAATTTTTATAAACTACCAATGTCCAGTTCCTTATCAGCGGGCGGAATTCGTGTTGAAAACTGATAAGGACGGCAGGTCTCCGAGTGTTTTAGCATTCGCTCGCTCGGCGCCGTCGCTTCGCTCCGCCAACTAAAAATATCCTAGGTTTGTAGGCTACAGTCTATGAGGAGGTAACAGGTTTAAAATTAAGTTTAAATTAAAATTTTAAAAAGTTAAAGAGACTTGATAAGAAGCTGGCCATTGGGAAAAAGTGTATAATGGAAATTATCTTTGGTAAAAGTTGTTATATTATAGACCACGTCATCAATATAGGCCGGTGTCATCCCGCTTAACTTTATGAGTTGAAAACAGATAAAAATGTCTAGAGGACAGTCAGCTAAATGTCTGTTAAGGTTTGCCTTTGTGAAACAAAATTTGTTTAAACGTAGTATGTTATATGTCTGTACACAGCGGTTCCGAGGGAGTGCCCGGCTACGCGGCCACGGTGTCGAGTCAGCTCACTACGTTTTACAGTATACCGTTATAATTCATCGTACCTTTATCCAGTAATCATAGTTCATACTTAGTTTCGAAAAAGTGTTTTGCAAGCTAGGTACCGGTTAACTGTAGTGCAAGTCTAGCTATCTGTCAGATCAGAAATGTCCTACTACTAAAGCGAGTGTGCTACTTGCTTAAAGTACAATTATTTTTTTTTTAATTTGAATTGTTTGAGGTGTTGTTTACTTCACGGGATTGGTAAAAGCTATGGTTAAAAATAGATAGAAATGTTTAGAGGTCAGTCGGCTATGTGTCTGATATGGTGTTCCTATGTGCAACAAAACTTTTTCAAACGTATACGTTATATGTCTAGATATTGG